TTCTGAGTCTACTAGTTATGATGACATAATATATATACATATATATATATATATATATATATGTTTCCTGGATATGTACTTTATTCAAATTCATTTTAATTCCAAAAATGTAAAATTCAAACCAGGAAGACTAACACCTCTGAAATACTGCATCATAGATGAGGGAACCAGATAGTATCATAATAAAGACAATTGAATCACCATGTAGTGAGCTCTAAGACAGGAAAGTTAATATACATAGACCACATCAGCCTTGTGATCAAATATAGCTTAAAGAGAACTGTGAACTAGAACAATAGAAATTGGACTGAATTAGTGTAAAAGATTTTTTCATGGAGGAAATGGGATTTGTTTCTCTTGAAAAAAAAGTAAGAGGGTAAACCATGGTTGAGTCAGTCAAAGTTGAATGATGAGAACTTGATACTTTATAGAACTGATGTATTGGCTAGTACTAAAACACAAGAAGACCAGGATAGGCATAAGGGTAGAGAGCCCCAAGGTTTGAAGCAAGGTTATTACTGCCAGTGAAGCCAGATCTGGGACTGAAGACCAGTAGAATGGAAGATCATTTGTACAAAGTTGAAAAGGTATCAATCAATGAACATATTAACCAATCACATAACCATTGAAAAACCAGAGAGGAATTTCACCCTGTGGAAAGAATCCAACAAAGTTAGAAAAGAGATTTGCTGAATGAAACTAAAAAACTAAGAAAAGCAAAGGTTGTGAGAACCATTACACCCTGATTGTTGAATTGTGGAATCATCTGTGTGAGTCAATACAGTATGATGATGTAAAAGGGGTAGCAACACTAGGAGAGCATGATGTTCCACCCATATTTCCAATAAACCTATGTAAAACATGGCTTCCTGTGGAGTCCAGGTACCAGAAAGATATTGATCTTTTAACACAGCACCTGAACCTGTGAGAGGAGCATCTGTTAAAAGATGAATATTGATAGGAAGAAAAAGAAAAGGAAAGCCTGCAGTCATATACTCTTAATTCTATGAAACAGAAGGGACTTGAGGAGTACTTGGAGAAAGAAATATTTTGTGAGATAATGTATCTGTAATGTGTATATTGTATAGGAATTCTTTTTGGTGGCAGAGGACTGGTTTATGTGTTTTAGTAAAGATGGCTTCCAAAATATAGAGACGAAAGGTTGACCGACCATTTGCAATAATTTCAAACCTGCTATCCATGTAGTTGTCAGCACAAGTCAGGGTCACTAGTAAATGCTGGCCAATCACTGATTCACATTTTGGTAGAACTATACAATCTACACATCCTTCAGTAGGTCTGTGACATTTCCTGATTGGCTAAAGGACATGCCAATCAGTGATTGCCTTACCGGCCTACATTGATCTGTACTATTTCCTATAGATCAGTTTTCAGACGGTTCTGCTGTGATTAGTGTCTGGCAAAAAGCTTCAGCAGATATTTCTTTTGCAACATCTCGACCAACAATTAGTCCAGTTAACGCTATTTTCAAGTTTTGAACAACTCGACTTTCAAGATCTACATATGTACGTGTGCCGATGTTTCCATTTATCAATGTTATATTTTAAAATCTGTGCAAGAACTCACCTAACAGATGTTTCTGTATATAAAAGCTATCTTAAAGCTATAAGACTTGAAATGCTATAGGTAATGGCTGAAGAATTCTTTGAACTGTGTTGATACAAAACCATAGATGGACAAAACATTGAGTTAGTACTAACTGAGACTTGGCTTTGTGAATTATTCACCCAAGAGAAGTAGCCAACTCAGTGTGTGTTAGAGGTTGAATGGATGACAGCACAAGAAGAAATCAATCATCCATTTAAAAGTAAAAGTTGATGTTGATTGAATGAAGATGAGTGGCCTTGAGTACTGATCCAGAAATTCATGAAGTCAAAGCCAGCCCAACTGACTGATGGCAGTGAACTGATAAATCGCCTATCAATGGCAAAAACATTTAAAATGGTGAGATATGGATGACTCAAGATATAAAAATAAAAATACTACATATCCACCTTTGTCATCCAATGTCTGCATTGAAGAAACTTTCATAACATTCTGTTATTTTCCATTTTTAAATGAGGGACCTCCAAAAAATAATTGAGATGACACAACTACAAAAAGATTCAAGTAAAATCCTGAAAACTCATGGCGAAAGGATATAATGGTACTTTTTTTAAAAGAGATCCAAAACATGTTGATCCAAGATTTGTAGATAGAATCTTAAGGAAGAAAAAAAGATAAATGGAGAGAAGAAAGAGGAGGAAAATGACAAAGGAAAAGACCACACTTAAGAATTTGTTTAACCAAAGGAACATGAAGCCAAGGGTCCCACCATTGAATTAAAGTTCCTAGAAGACCTCAAACAGTTCAGATGGAGGGTATGGCTAAAAAAACGTCAGTGAGTGGTTTGAGAAGAACCTCCCTGCTTGGTAATCTAGAAGAGGTGAAAGGAAGGAATAGAACTAGTGAATGTAAAATACTGGGAAGCAAAGAATAAGGCAAAGCATGTAAGCAAATATTGTGTAGTAGATGTCTCAAAGAGAGACAAATACCAATAATATATGAAAGGGTAAAACCAGAATCAGCTCCTGATGGCTTGCTTCTCTTGCTTATAAAACTAATTTAGGTGAAATTTCTTTAAAAACAGAACAATGCAAGAAGGAAGCCCTTTCAAGGGCTGTTCAAAATATGGGGAAGATGAGTACCTTTCAATACATCACAATAGGCTACAGTGTTAAAACAACATAAAAGCCACTTAGTAGCAGATACTAAATCCACAAGAACAACAAGCAGCAAAGACTGCAAAGTAGAAAACAGATACTGGTCAAAATAATTAACTGTATGAGAACAGCTAACAGCCAATAACTGTACTAAAAATGAAAATTTGTGAATGAGAAGTCAAGGAAGAATATCATGTGGAAGATCCCATCATTCTAAATAATGATCTGAAGGTTCATAACTTGTGAAGAAAGCTGTGTTTTAGAAAACAACCCTGCTAAAAGACAGCCCACAAGAGAATATGATGAATGTGAAAAACATTAACATTCTGTTGACTTATGAAGACATTAGCAATACCTCAAATATCAGAAAGTATAAGATATGAACAGAATAATCTAACAGAACACTCAAGCATAACATAAATAAATTCAAGTTTAATATAGTATATACCTGAGAAAAAAAGTGATATAGGTTCACCCAAACCTTCCTCAGGATTAGGATAGATAGCAGAGAAATCCTGCTCCTCAGTGAAAGAAGGTAAATATGTCTGGTCAAATAATTGGGCTTGTTCACCAACATGAAGAAACGACATATGTTCCTCAAATGGAGCATCCACATGACTGGGACACCAAATGATGATTTGGCATTAATGTTCCTAATATGATGATAAATGGAGGGTGATAACAACCACAGGATCTCCCTGCATACCAGAAGAAGGATGTGTAAACAAAGCCTTCAAATATTTTGCATTAACAGAAGTGTTAACATCAGGATTCACACTAGCTTCTGAATTCATGAGCAGAATAAATTAAGATTCAAAGTTTATGGCATAAATGTCAACAAGAAAGTTTTACTAATCTGGTGGGAAAGCAGGTCTTTTATAGTTTCCTCTTGCACAATAAATTAATTTGAGAACTTTGGATAAGAGGTAAGACAATTCAGGTAATGCACCGTGTCAAGGACATTCAGAACCAAAAGTCAGGTGGCTGCTAACATAGCAAGAATGACTCAACAAGAAAAAGCTTAGCATATTTCTGAGTAGGTAAGTCCAACATATGTTCCAATATTAAAAAAACTTGGGGAGTCCAATTCAGCTTTTTGTCTCTGACAGACAATTTTATATATATAATAATACTCATATAATTTTTAACCATAGACACAGCATAAAACAAAGGTGACATAAAATTTACATTATCATTATTAAACTATAAGTGTCTATCAAGTTAATTTTTTGAATTTCTACAACTATTTATATTTGAAGCAATCTCTTAGATTTTGTTTTATAAGAAACTTTTAATTAAATGTAATTATTTGCAACTAAAACAGACATAAAATTGAGAGAATTAACTTCCAATTGATTAGTTTTGATGCTATTAACTATTATTAAACAAATCTGTAAAATAACAAATACATGTACACAAACAGCCTTCTGTAAGTCACAAGTTATGCATATGTATCAGAACAAACATAATAACAGTATGCTATATCTTCTTGTTTGGATTTTTATATAAAAACAATAACACGTAGGTTAATACAGAATTCAACATAATTGCCAAAATATTTTATTGTAATACTTTCTAATAAATCATACAAATGCTAGATCTGATTATGCTTTCCTGCAAATTTAAAGTGTTAAGTATTTTTGGTCTTTAAAGGAGTGGTTGGGAAATAAGTAATTTTTGTAAAAGATGCTAATTGAAACCTACCACAATGATACAAATAACTACAGTAAACTTAAAGCACTGATTCTAAAATTTATAAAGAAACTTAAACATGTATAATTAATTCTTTATTGTTGCAATTATAATCATACTAACTTCCTAAGTACCATACAATTTTCACATACATATGCTTATGAACAATCAACACTTTCATTTTACTTTACAATGTGCTACCTTGCATATTCAACCTTTAAAATTAAACAACTAATGGTATATAAACTATCTTGCCACACAGTTCCTACCACTCCTGTTTCCCTTGACTGTAGCAGCATACTAAGTTATTAACCAATAGAATCATAACATCAAATTAACTATTTTGTTTTTAAAGCGTGTATCAGGTTTTTGTATGAGCTGGATTCCTTACAGTAGGTGTCTGTGATTTGTTGGCGATAAATTTGAACAATAAACAAACAGCACATGGTCCACTTGTTTTAAAATAATATATTAGAAAAAGTAATGTTATGACAGTGGAAGTCACACGACACTGGAAGCATGCGTGCTGGACTTTCTAGAAGGATAATGTCTCTTCCTGGCAACTCTAGTCTTTTGTATGCACCCTCTATTTTAGTATATAAGCAGGCAAATAAAGTGAGATAATTAATAGAGAATTGCAGACTGGCAGAGATAGAGACGAACAGTTCAATCAAGCGCGGTAGTGACCGTAAGTAAAGTGCATGAATCGTTGTGAATTATAGCGTGTGTTTCAGTTAAAGTGACTGTAGAAGTTAAGTGTATTCCAAAGTTGCATTGAGAAAGAATAAACTATTTTTATTTCAGAAAAGACTTGTGTCGCTAAAGTTTCATCCGAAAGAAATTATATGGGAAATTAACCAACGACGAGAGACGTAACAGTAAAATGTATATACATATGTTTGTTACACTGTTGGTTGTCACAGTTGTATCCAGAGCTTTAAATAATTTTCACTTTTTTGTCAAAAAATAACAAATACATGTAAACAAATAGCCTTCTGCAAGTCGCAAATTACACATGTACATCAGAAAAAACATAACAGTATGCTATATATTCTTGTTAGGATTTTTATACAAACACAATAACACATAGGTTAATACAGAATTCAACATATCAGTCAAAATATTTTATTGTAATACTTTCTAATATTGTCACTTTTTGATCAAAATCCACACATGCTGGTTCAGTTACTTTAGAACACAATTTGACAAGACAAATTATTCTTCCTGCTTTGTTATTTCAATACAGTCTGTGACAACTTCACTTTAAAAATTGCCACTATATGCTCTAAACTCACAATGACACAATCTAGATCTATCTATCAAACCAAATTTCTGATGCATATTTATACCCAACAGAGGTCTAGAATGTTCCACACACTACTAGATATTATGATGCAATAATACTCTACTAAAACAATGAGAAAAACTCAGAAGGTTCTCGTAACATGACATAATAATATAACAATCACCAATTCATAATACTGAACTACCCAATGTATGATTCGTAAATAGTTACATAAATAAACCTGCGATAAACTATCACTTCTAAAAATAACTACTTTTAACACTCGTGCTATATAGACTATCTAAATCATAAAACTTGCATTAAACTGAAACTGAAATAGTTGTGTATATCCAAAGGCTTTTTAAATAAAAAACTAATCAGTTCAATAAACTTTTTTATCATTAAAAGAAAGCAAATTTAAAAATGAAAACCTTATTATACAATATGCCTTAAATATCATTTAAAGTATTCATGGTAGCAATTAATTTGTTTTAATAAATTCATTAACAAGCATGATTTTGGAACATATAAAGAAATGTGTATAATAACAATACACAGGCACACTAATATTGCACTAAGCGGGTAACTTATTGTTTTGTGAAAACAAATAGATTGATAGATTCCTGGCACGCAAAACTGCCTATCACTTTAAACTATTAAGATACTTATTACATGAGATATCTATTTGAAATAAGAAAAATGCCTATACAACTAAAAAACTAGATAATACTAGATTTTGAATGTCATTGAGCCACAGAAAATAAAACTATGTACTATTCAATGAAAGCATTGATATTCTTAAACCGACTATGTAGATTTTTCCTCATTTTTGAAAAGCGCAGAAAAAACATTAGTGCTTACAGTCTATGCTGAGCCATTCTTGAAATGCAAGTTTATCAAAGACATTTTATATAATATATGAAAATAAGTGGCTGATTTAGATTGTGATAAACAATAGAAGAGTACAAAGGGCTCCTTACTTGATACATTTTCTCTTTACAGAATATGTAATACATATTTTCTCTTTTTACATTCACCTAATCACCTATAATGTTCAATAAAACTCACAATTTAACTTGCTGTGAAACATTATACTTAATAAATCTACTTATTACTTTCATTTATCCCTGATGAAAGAAAGTCTACTCAGGCTATTGGGGTTCTTTTCTAATGCCAACTTTTTTCTGTTGATCTTACTTACATGTTTTTGAATATCATTCTACAGTAATGTGCAGAGGACATAAAAAGGGCAAAGGCTCATTAACAAAAATGGACACTTTTCAAGCATTTTAATTATGTTAAGCCTTTATTGTTGTTGTTTTTTTGTTTTGTTTTTGGGGAGGAGGGGTATTAGAGGAGACTATGGGGATTGTGGGTTGCCTCTGGTGCACCTAGGGTAAAAATCCATAAGAAACAAACAGATCCTCTTTTATTCCCAGTGTTCCATTTATTTCAAAGCTGAAATCCTTTTTCTTTCCTAATAACTTGCAGAAAGTAAAGTGGGGGATCTGGTGTATTTGTTTGTAATTGGCAATAATGTTTATGACAAATAAAAAAAGAGTACATATGGGACAAAAGGGCAGTAAGGCAGAAGCTTAAGCCCACCCAGCCATCCTCCCCTTCACACTTCACTGCCATTTTTTGTCTCATTAATACTTTAATTAATAGAATGAATGGTAATATACCTAAGTTACAGTTGAATGATATTTAAAAATTACACATTTTATTGATACTTTAGTTACTTACACCACTTGAATCTCACTTGAGCATATTTTACATCTGGTAATATCCAACTGAGAGAACAGAAAAATTTTACCATGACTGTTCTTGCATTCACATCAATTTGTTAGAATACTGTACATGTGTAGATTTGATTATACTGATCACATTCAGTTGACATTTTAGAAGCACTTTCGAGACTGCAAGTTTTGTTAATCACATTAAAATACCACGATAACAATATTTTATACTAGATGCTCTAATAATTAAGATAACAGCAAACTGTATACAAGATACAAAGTTATTTGGGTATAATGCTCTCTGAAATCTCTTCAGTGATGTTTTCTAAGATTACTGTTAATGTTTTTGAAAAAACGAAGTGGTTAAAGAGCTACTTTAGGGGTATGATAGTTTAATAGGTGGCTTATCAAATTCAAAAATTGTCTATTTATAGAGTAAATTAGTAATATATCATCCATTTTCTACCTCAACATATTATGAATGACCATTTCCTGAAAAACAGCATTCTGTTATACAGATGGTAAAGTGAAACAAATCCATAAAAATATTTTCAACTTACCTACATTTTGAGCAGTTAAAGTGATAAGGATGATAAGTTTCTCCAGATATTCTTAGTGGAAGTTCATCTATTATACCACTACACAAAAATAATGCAATACACAAGAATGTATACATTATATCAAATAAATATATTACTGTTACAGTTTAACACAACTCCAACAAAAAATTAATAAATTAAGATCCAATGTAAAATACATTAAAGTCAAAATGTTTAATTTTTTTTCACAAATATACTTAAAAATTTAATAAAGTTGTATGTTTTAATATTCAAACGTATATGAATCAGATGACACATTGTTATTACGTTCAAAGCTGTCAATGGGCTATTTCTGCTGTGCCTACTAAAGGAACTGAATGCTGAATATTAACATATAAACTGAGCCAGATAACTCAGTTAAATCCACACACTATAACTGTCCTGGTATAATTTACAAAAGAAGTAATTTTTAAATCAAAACCTTAATCTTATACTTATTTGTTTCTGAAATTTCTTTAAAAGGGGTTCTACTTTAGAAGTATGTGAGTAAATAGTATAATATTACATATCTTATTCAAATACTGTCTAATACTTCAAGTTAAAATAATAATGGCCCATTTTTTTAATTAAACAAGTTTGGCAAACTTTTGTCTTAACAAATGGCACAGACAGCTTCAGTGTTACATATAACTGAAAATCCTTAATAGCCTAAACTTTCTTTCACAATTAAAAAAAAGAAGAAATGTCATGTATGAGGATTAGTACAGGATATGACAATATTATTCTTAAGTTCCTATAAAACTTAATGCACCAAAATTGTTAGATTTTTGAAAAATTATAATTTTCAATGATATATAATGCATTAGAAATTTAGGTATTTATAATCCCATTACAAAACAAAATCATTATACTGAAACATTATTTTGAGAGACATTGTTTTTCAGATCTAGCTTTCTTTTTTGTGAAAGTTATGAAAACCTAACTTAATATTGAGAAACTTCAATGTTATCTAGAATTGAAAATGATTCTCTAAGTGCCTGCATCATAAAACTGTTTATAAGTTTATAACTATTAATGCTTAAATTAAACTCTTAAGTGAAAACTATACATGTCACATATATTAGAAGTCATAAACTGCACATTATACAAAAAAAGTTTACTGACTCTTATCTGCAAGCAGGTCATGCAGTATTATGAAAAACCCAATTGTTTTCATTATTTTGGAGCAACAATTTTAATTCTTTCATCAAGTTTTTTATTACTTAATTTACCTATACATTTTTAATTGATTCAAGCAACACATGTAGAAAATGTGGCTATGCATACACCACTGATAGTGAATTCCTAAGAGAGTAAAAACTTCATTTATATGTATACAATTAATGAACTAAGAGGTTCAAAAATAAGAGGTTTATTTTAATCTTAAATTGAGAATTGTATAAGTAATCTCTCTCCACCTAAAATTAGGACATCAGAGTCACACAATAGAAGTGGTAGTATAGTACACTAGATAATAAACATTAGTTTTGTGCTATATGAGGCTATTTACAAAGAATGACTAATATTCATCATACTAAAGATAATTATTGCTTCATAGATCAATTCATTTTGCAATAGTAACTTAAACAGCAGTCATTTATATATATTACTATAGAAAATGAAATGAGAAAAACAACAGTCTGACTACAGATATACACGCCTCACATACTGTTGCATGTCTGTAAACAGATATATAACAGTTAAAAATCCGAGGAATAAATTCAAGTGTAATAAGTAATGTAGCCTGTTTATGTACATCTAATTGAACAAAATATTTCAAACTGATTCTGTGTATTATCAATTTACCATAAAAAAACCAGATATCACGAGAATAATGAAAATTACCTCTTTTAGTTGTACTTATATAAACCTGTAGGTTTTTGAGGGTTATTTGTTTATTGAAATGTTATATTTCTTGATACTAAAAAAGTCCATGAAATAATTTGATTGTTTGTTTGTTGTTAAGCATAAAGCTATCTGTACTGTGCCCATTGAAACCTGAATTTTAGCACTATAAACCTTACAACTTATCACTAGATCATAGGATAAAAGAAATAGCTAAATATTCTGAAGAAAGCTCTCAGGTCCCTTGTTTTGTGATAAATCTTGATGTCTAGTCTAATTAGAAATTTTGATTAAAACACTTGAATCATAATAATTTGTTTATCTGTAGCTAACCACAAAGCTATACATTGAGCTATCTGTGGTGTGCCTACTATGGGTATCAAAACTCAGTCTTTAGGATTATATATAAGCCTTCAGACTTACTGCTATACCACTGGGGGCAAATCATAACAAAATGTACAAATATAGTTAATCAGTAAATGGTGGAATATATAATGTGTCAAAAAAACATTTATGGTCATTTTACAAAAAAGAGAGAGCATACGTACACTACAGCTCAAAAAAAACATTGTGTTAAACTTTAAACCCAGATAAATCTTCTACTGATTTTCAACAACTTTTTATTTGTATCTGATTTATGTGCAACTTAACAAGCTTTAAAAACAGAAACTGTACAGTACAAAATATATTCCAAGCACATTTTAAAATCAGAAAAGTTCTTAAAAAATTCATCATTATGGTAAGAACAAAAACAAATGAAGAAATATATCTGGTTCAGATTCAAATTTTGAATAAATAAATCTACTTACTGGCACTTGACACAACTATTCTTTCCTATAGCAGCTGCTTTCTCTTTGGCATTACAATTAAAACACAATGCTCTAAGAATAAGGAAAAATATAATTTCAATACTAATATTAATAACAAAAATAACATATTTTCCATAATTTACAAAAAAAAACTTTTATTTCTTTAATTTTCCATAATGTGAAAAATACAAATTAATATAATGTTATTATTGAACAATAAATACTAAATCAAATAAAGTACAAGATATACCAAAACATAAAAAAATGGGGTAGCTCAATTTCCAAACAAATGAACCAATATACAATCTAATTATATTATATAATTTAATAGAATTTGTATTAGGAGCTCTTGAAGGTGGAAGAAGTGTCTCATTTACTTTCAAACCAAAAACACAGTAATTTAGAAAAAAAAATATGAATCAAAATATCAATTTTCTTTTATAATCATGTTTATAAAATTTAAAACAGCCAGTGTTACATGTATCTATTTTTGGTGTGTAATTGGTTTTTGTTTATCTTTGCTTCCATACAATCACTTATTTTCTATGCTTTCATCTCTATAGGATTTTGAATCAAAATTTATATATATTGTTGTGTCAGCGAGTCACATGACTACTGTGACGCCACGTTTCTAGAACTATCCTGTACCTTGGTGAATGCTCTAGTATTTACTAGATATAGGGTAGTCTGGTATATAAAAGAGGGTGACAACGTGACAGAATAATGTAAAGTGTGTGTGTGTAGATAGTGAGTAATTGAACTGCAGTCAGAAGTATTATTGACGTTCGTTGATATAGCGTTTGTTTTAACGCGATTGTTGAAAATAAGTGTGTCGCTAAAGTTTCGTCGGAACGAAGTTACGGAAAGTTAATTAACAAACGGAGACGTAACAATGTATTTCTACAAGTATTTTAAACGAAAGAGATTAATGAACCTCAACATCTATTAATCTTTTCTTCTTCTTTCTATATGAATCTTAAATCAAATTAAATACTAATGTATGAGGAATTTGATTTTCCTTTAACTTCTCATTATTTGAATTATCTGTCTTTTGTTAAAGGAATATATATAGCCATAAAAAAATATTCTGTCAATCCAAAATAGTTGACAAAGAGGGATAATTTAACTTTTACTTACTGCAAAATGTATTTATTTTAGTAACTCTCATTGGCAACTATCATGCAGAACTAATTTCATGAGTAAATACCACTCTCTTGATTAATATAAATCACTTTTTGGTTCTTTAGTATTCACATAAATTGTTTTTGCAACACATGCAGTTACAATTCTAAACCAATTAGTACTATAAAAGTTGCCAACTGTAATCCAATAAATTTGCATGAAGAAAACCTAAATCCAGCAACTCACTAGTGATATGTGAAATAGAGTATCTTAAGACAACAAGGGCTCTGCATATTAAACTCTAATCCCATCCAAGTTAGTACTCAAACAACCTGACTATATTTCTGAATACTTAATTATGTAAACCTTTCTAATAATCTGTTTTCTATAACCTATCAACATCATTTTCTTCAGGTTTCTTGTTCAATGAACGTTTAATACCATAGGTCTTCTTTGGGTTTATGAATAATAAAACAAGCAATAATGTCCACTAAACCAACCTACAATACACAAGTAAATAAATAAAAATATTTAATCATGTACTAATACAATATTGTTAAATGTTCTTTGATAGATTTCAAAGACAGTATATGTTGATCTATAGCATTACTTCTGGATGGATGGATTTGTTTTAAATGATCAGAAAATAACTTCATGCTACTACATTTTGTTATACTACTCCATGATTTTACATTACACTTTAATGATTAGTCTTTTGAGCTATACAATGGTATGTTACTTACATTGAACTGAATATATCTAATGGTCAAACTGCACTGTTTTATATTGTTCTGGTATTATTAACATTGTCAGCTTATAATGTACAGAAAATACTAACAATAACACAAAAGTCAGTAAAGTATAAAGTATTTAAGTTAGAAAATAAAACTGTTACGTCTCCGTTTCTTAATTAACTTTCCGTAACTTCGTTCCGACGAAACTTTAGCGACACAAGTCCTTACTTAATAAAACTGGTTTATTCTTTCTGAATATAACTTTACGATACACTTAATTTCAACAATCACGCTAAAACAAAT